AGGCTAAAGGTAGGTTGTATTAATCTCATGATGTCTCAATAAATTTGGTATTAAAATACATATACAACTTTTTTCTTTTGATATGTATATACATTTTGGTAGACTCTGTATATACAGTAAAACCTTTGTTTCTGAGCATAATTTTTTTCCTGAAACATGCTTGTAATCCAAAGCACTTGTACATCAAAGCGAATTTCCCCATAAGAAAGAGTGGAAACTCAGATGGTTTGTTTCATGACCCCAAAATATTCATATAAAATTATTACAATACTATAATATAATACAACAAAATAAAAATAATACTAACTATATAGAAAAATTAATAAGTTAACCTGCACCTACCTTTGAAAACTTTCGTGGCTGGTGTGAGGGAGACAAAGAGAGCTTATCGCATAGGACAATTTTCACTATCACTAATGGAATCACTGCTATCTATTGACTCAATGGTATCTTTGTCTTATTGTGCCTCTTTAAAAGGTGCCTATCCAAGGACATTTGCTTTTTGCCTCCTTTTGAGGATTTCACAGAAATGTGACATTGCATCGTCATTAAACAGATCCATTGCCTACACTGCTACTGCCTTATTCAGGTGGTGTTCTTCTATGAAAATTTGCACTGTTTCCTACATTTAACACACCTCCCTAATCTCATCTGGAGCAAGGGATTCATCTGCCTTGTCCTCCTCTGCAGACAAGAATTGTTGCAGTTGGGAGATGATCACTCACAATTCCTGAGAGAGAGAGTTGTGATCATGTGATGTTTGGCATCACATATTGCAAGATGTCAGTCACTTATCAAGTTAAACTGTATTAGAAATGTTTGCTTGCCTTGCAGAACATTCATAGAACAAGTTACTCACAATCCAAGGTTTTACTATACTTTGGTGAGTTTGACATATAAACATCAGTGAAACTGTTAACACAGTGAAAATAACAAGAATTTCCACTGCCTCTAAAAGTTTCCTTGGGTTATTGTTTAATCCATCACTACTGCCAGTCCTATCTAGACAACCATTGGTTTGGTTTCCATCAATTTCAGATGATACGCATTTTCTAGGAGTTTTGTATAAAGGAAGTTATGCACAGATACTCTATTTTTTGTGTGACTTCTTTTACCAAGCACAGAAATCTTGAATTTGTTCCATGTTCTTACAGATATCTGTAGTTCTTTTCTTTTTAAATGAAAAAGATAAAAATAAAAATTTTCTTTGTAAATGGTGTAGAACTCCCTTGTCTAGGTGTACTCCATTTTATCTGCTGATTGACCTATTGATAGACCCTCGGATTAATTCCAAATTAAAGCTAATAGGCACATTTATGTACAGGTCTATGTGAAAAATGGTCTTCACATCTATTGAGTAAACATAAAACAGTGCAATTGCTAGGTCACATAGTGGGTATAAGATATGTTTAGCCTTAGAAGAAAACACCCAAAGTGGTTGCAAAAGTAACTATAACACTTTTTTGCTTCTACTATGAATGTTTTGTTGTTGCTGTTGTTGTTGTTTTCTGTACTGGGGATTGAACCCACAACCTTCCCACTGAACTACATCCCCAGAACTTTTTGAAATTTTTATTTTAAAAATAAATAATATTTATTTTTAAAATATTAATTTATTTTAAAATTAAAATTTATTTTTAAAATAATATTTATTTTTAAATTAAAATAGGTTCTCACTAAGTCACCCAGGCTGGTCCCTTACTTTACACCCTCTTGCCTCGGCTTCCCAGAATTCTGAGATTACAGGTGGGCACCACCACACTCAGCTACTAGGAGTGTTTTCATACCTTCAGTGGTTCTATATTCTAACTCACACTTGATATTGCCGATCTCTTTTTTTTTTATTTTAGCCACTCCCAAGAGATGAAATAGTATCTTATTATGGTTTTATTTGCATTTTCTTGATGATAAAGCCATATTTTTCATAATTTCATAGTCAATTATAAATCTCCTGTTTTGAAACATCTCTTTAAACTTTGCTTACTCTTTGTTGGGCTTTCACTCACAAACTTGTAAAAACCTTTATGTATTTTAAATGCAGGTATTTGGACTGATTTATATATCACTCACAATATGTATTTTATGTATTTACAAGTCAGTTCTAAGTTGCATTTGGCTATAGTTGTTTTATCAAGATGTCAGAAGTTTAGACAGAAACATTACCTTTGTGGGAAAGTATACATTATCCAGCTCCTAATCTACCACCTTAAACCTAACAGTATTCAATAAATGTGCTGAACAAACAAAGTATTTAAATTAACTAGTTAAGCATACGAATGCCTTAGTTTATCATGAAAATTTCAAAGAAAATATAATATGGACTTTTTAAATAAACCAGCAAGACAATAAAGCCATGCGCTGATGGGAAGAAATGACAAGCAAAGAGGAAAATGTGTCTCTTTTTCTGAAGGTTTGCAATGCAACAGGTACTGTAAAATGAATCTTTAAAGTTAGATGCTCTCCCTCAGAGGCAAATGACTCCTCCAAACATCCTCAGGTCTAGCCATAAAAGGTTCCCTTCACCTATCCTCAGCCAGATAAATGGATAGAATATACAAGTGCGGCACCAGAAGTTCAAAGTGAAGTTTCATTTCCAGAGGGAAGGAAGGAGAGATCCGGGTCCAGAAATGGAAGAAAGAAGCCTGAACATGTCTATTGTCTCCTTTATTCCTTCTCCTCGCTGACACTTGCTATAAAAGACCCTAACATAGGCATACAAGGGGTGGCAGCGACTTGAGGAAAATGAGCCCCTCCATCTCCTCAGAGCTGTCTCTGAGTAAATCCCTTCTTTTACCCAAATAAATGGCCTCCTTTGATTTGGTCAGTGGTGAACAAATAAACCTGAGCTTAGTGGCCAGTCATATGCAGACCCTCCATCTGGGAGAATTAATTGTAACCCCTGTACTATTGTTGTCGCAATTTAATAAATAATAAACCTCTTGTGATAAAACTTTACTTAAGACTATATGTTGTTGCACAGTGAGAGTTAATGTGGGTGGGAATGGCATCTTATTTAGCTTTACAAATTTCCCGCACATATCTCAGTTTCTGCCGTACATACACTAAGTATCTAACAAGTGTCTCGGCTGGAGGCAAACAGAACACAGCTATGTCAGCTTTGAGCAGATGAGGATGTGGAGTAAGGGGGCACTGGACAAAGACTGACCTGACGGAAATGTGTAGGCTACAAGGGGAAGGAGTACTAACTGCAGAGTGATAAATGTTAAGAGAAGGGCTGCCACACAGAGGGAAGAGGCTCAAGGAGACCGGAGGGGAGCACCCTTCCAACTAGGGGGACATGAGCAGGCAAGATATTAATGAGTACCTGCTGGGCATAGGCATGGGCAAGAAACAAGGAAGAGAGACACCTTAGCAGTTCCAGCTTTCCTGCAGGCATGCGGCTGATTGGTTCCTATGAGAGTTAATAGAGCTGGGATGAGGAGAAATGGGTAAAACTGGAGCCACATCAAATGGTGTGAAAAAGAGAAGGTGAGCTAGAAGGAAGAAAGTGTAAGGAAAAAGTACATCTGTGAGTAAGACTACAGCCACCAATCCTCCTTACACACAGAAGCTTGCCCTGATGTGTGCCAGGGCTGTGAAATGAGAGACCCACAGCATCACAAAGCTTCACCACCTTTCCCCATACACATTAGCAATTAGTTTCTTTGCTTCCTTCTACTTCTGCCCTGGTCCTGACATCCTTCTTAGCGATCGAAGCCCAGAGCCCATGACCACCCGAGACATCAAAGGTCTGCCTCGAAGTCACATCCCTCTCTTCAGTGTGGCAACCTTTTCTTCCTGACCTTCAAAATGTCTTATTTTTCCACTCTTGGTACTATCTGACCAAGAAAACAAATATCCCTATCGGCCTTTTGTTTTTGGCCTCCCTCTGGCTGGAAATGTCTTTTAACAGTTTCACTTATGTTACTCTCAGCAGTGGATCTGGGAAATGATCTTCCTATTCACATGGAAATTACGGGGCCATTCTTCTGTCTTTCTCCTTTACTGAGCAGCTGACAGGTGGAGCCCAGAGCAGAGATTTGTTCAGAATTATTCAGGAGACAATGAGGACTCTATGAGGATCTTACCTTCTATTTTTATGTTGTCATTATTTTCTAATTTTTTAATAAAAATCTGGCGATTGGAATTTAAAGTGAAAGATTAAATAGTATTTGCCATAATAAACACAGGTGGAGAGGGCCTTTTCCACTCTTCCTTCTGCCTGTAGGAACTCGCACTGCTGCAATGCTTTTGTCTTTACTTTCACAGAAGGAACTAAATACATGGTATTTAATTTTACTCTAACTATTTAAGGACTGCCTTTCTTGAATGTATTAGCCAAATGCTTATTTTTGTGTACCTGTGCTAGTTTGGCTTGTCTGAGATGGAAAAATGGGCCGCAAAGAAATCTTTTATTCAACATTTACCATAGGAAAATAAATTCCATGTGTCTTAGAGACTTTCTTCATCACTGGAACAAAATACCCAATACCCGAAACCTAAAGATGGAGAGGTTTACTTTGGCGCAGGTTTCAGTCTATGGTCAGCTGGCTTTAAGGCAAGACAGCATGGCAGAAGGGCATAGAGGAGTAGAGCTGCTCAGAGCATGGCAGACAGGAAGGGGAAGAGGGGAGGAAGGGAGGGAGAGAATTAGGAGCGAAGGAGATAGAACCTTCTAGGCCTCACCACCAGTGACCACCTGCTCCCACCAGGCTTTAACTCCCAGCCTCACATCTAGCTACAAACTCATCAGAGCATCATATCCCTGTGATCCAGTCACCTCCCCAAAGCCCCCACTATGAGTGCGTGAGGCTTTCGGGACACATCCAGGTATAAGCTGGAACACTGTACATCTTCTTACCTTATTTGATATGGTTTATTAAAGTTGTACTGGGTGACGGGAAGACCTTAAAATGCCTGGGTTTCAATCTCAGCAACATTATCCATCAACTTTTGACAAAATTCCAGGGTAAAACTGAGCATGCAGGAATCACGTTTACCTTTGAAGTTTTTCCCGTTATTAATTCGTGAGCTCCCGTTTGACAGCCTCTTCCTCAAAGGTAACAGCCTTTAAAAGGAAAATAATCTTAATGGAAATGAAAGGATCCCTACTGGCAGCAAAGAAAGAGAAAGGGAAGAATTCCAGACTAGTGGAGAGGGTCTTGCGAGCCAAGAAGAGGGAGGAAGAAAGCTTCCTGGCAAGCTGAAATCACAGTACACGGCCAACTTTTCCTCCGGTCTGTGGGCCTGACCTCCAGGAGAAAAAAAGCTGGCACCACAAGGTGAGGCAGAACGGTGTGCGCATGCTTACTACTGACTAACAGCCTCCTATTTGTATTACTGCAAAATACCGCCTTGAGCTACAGTAGTTCCGTGGAGCAAATGGTGAATCACTTACAGGTTCTCTTGAACAATCTGTAATAATGGTATTTTACTCAGCCAAATCTCTTCCATGATTGATCTATACAAGACCCTGTTAGAAACTTCCTGTGGAAGAAGATTATTACAGAATCACAAGGATGAAAAAAGAGACTTGAGACCCAATTGGCCAAATATAATTCTTTTAGATTTCACCTAAACAGCCCTGCAATTCTCAAGTAAGTGGAGGCTAGGTATTGAAACCAGAGCTGATACCAGACTCACGGTGTACGAGATTTCTGGGTTTCCTTTGTTTCTCCGGTATCCCCAACAGCATCCCCACTGTGGATGCCTGCGTATGGATCTACGCAGCAGTGTGCTGCAGTTATCCATGCTGCCCGGAATGAGCTGAAGACCCCTGTCTCTTCCCAACTCACATTCAGTGACATCACCATGGCAGCTTGACGTCAGCCATAGTGAAAGTATCTTCACCATGGAAACGGCCAAAAATTCTAAATCAGAGTTAGTTTTGTTCTGAAAAGCAGTTAGTAAGGATGTATCAACAGTCTGATATCCTATCTGTGTGCGTGCAAGGTTTGTAGACAGATACCCAAGTATAAGCACAGAGTCTGCAAAGTTGTATACACACTTGATTCAGCAGTTTGCCTCGGTAATAAATGCCTGCAAGCTCACGGTCCGCCGCTTTGAGTACTTCTTGTAATTGTAGAGGTCGGAGGTAACTCATGTTAATCTCATGATATCTCAATAAATTTATATTAAAATATTTATATAAGCTTTTCTTTCCCTGATGTATACATTTTTGCCAAACTCTGTAAATTCAATGAACAGATCACACACATATATAATATGAATGTGAATGTATGTGTCGAAGTAAACAAGAGGAGGTACACGTATAGTCGGCTTGCATTGCACCTCAACTTATAGTGCGAGTTCATTTTTCAGTTACTCATTTTATGTTGCTATTGAAACATTTTTACTTAAAAAAAACCCTCCTTGTATAATGTAAAATCGCACATGTTCCCCCAAACTTTCTAGTAATTACTGCCGTACTCGCTTGCTAGATATAGAGACACATTACCCAATATCCACACATTTAAAAAGGAGAGGTTTACTTTGCCTCATATTTCATTCCAGGGTCAGCTGGTTCCAAGGCAGATCGGCAGAGTGAGGGGCTAGGCAGAGGAAAGCTCTTATCTACATAGCAACCGGGGCAGGGGCAGAGGGAAGAGGAGAGCCCGGAAGGGAGATAAATGGGTTCAGGCCACTCCCTCTTCTGACCAGGCCCCAGCTCCCAATACCAAACCGACTGTAGCATCCCCGTACCCAGTCGCCTTCCACACACCCCCACCTCTCAGTAAATGAGGCTTTGAGGGCACATCCTGATATAAACTATACCATTTACCATGTAGTAGGCACAAAATAACCGCTATAAATAATACGTTCAGATTAAATAAATCCCAACTGACCATTACAAGCAAGCCATGTGTTCCAAGTGTATACATTATTATAAAGAAAGCCTGTACCTCTGTAAAAGAAAAAAAATACAAAGACAGGAAAGGAAAAAGAACAATTCAAAAATAACTCGCACACACTTTCAATCTTTGTCATTCTTACAGGCAGAGTTGCCGGCATCCAGGCCTCAACCTCCACGAGACTCATGAGTGTCCAGGGTAGCGACACGTGAGTCACATGGGTTCTCCCAACCCTGCACACAACCTGCAGGACCTGGAGCAGACACTGGGCACCCAGACTTCAGAGCCAGGTGCTCGTGACTTTCCTGAATGACTTGTCAACACAAGTAATTGGCCCATGCTCCAGTGACTCTCGACAATGGAACAAAAGTCTTTGCAAATACAGGAGTAGGAGGGAAAAACTTAAATTAAACTGGAAGCTTAGAACCTGCCAGATTTAATCCCTTCTTCTCTATTCTGACAGAGCTAATGAGTGGATTGCAAGATTTTACACCTCATGTCTGATGTTTTAAACACCTCAGATAATAATAGAAATACACGTATATAGTGCTTTTTTATGTGTTGGCTCATTTAATCCTCATATCAGTGTGACACAGAAATATTGGTCATGTTTTACAGCTGTGGAAACAGATTCTTGGAGAGATCAAATGACTTGTCTAAAATCACACAGCTGGTAACTGCGTGACGTCCCTAGTTATACTCAGTGCTCTTTCCTCCACATTTTTCCAGTGGTTGAGGAGCCAAAATGCAATCGATCCTGCCTTTTGGCAACAAGTGCAAGTCAGTTATCAATTCAGGCAAACGGAGGCAAAGCTAGGGGCCGGTTGCCCCCAACCCAGGCTACTCTGGGCTGAGCTGCTGATCTTCTTCATTCTGTGCACAATATTCTTCAAATCAGACCTAGTTCTCAAAATATCAGAACCTGGAATCCAAACGCTCACTCACATCCATACATAAATCAGTCCTTAAAAAATTATCTATATCTTTACTTTAGAAGTAACTAAAGACGTAAATCAAAAGAATTAAATCAGGGAATGGAGCCTTACACAGTGGGAAGCTAGTAGAAGGGTATTTGGGCAAGTAGCAGGTACTGAACGTATAGCGCCAGAAGTGGACTCATGACCAGAGCTAACTAGCTCTGCTTACTGGAATGGCTTGGTTTCAAACATCATAACCTGAGCATGTTGCAATAGGAGACCTGTTCCAGTGGCCTTTCAAGTTCTACCCATATCAGCTCAGCCCTTCCTAGAATGCTCATCTCTTCAGGCAAATTAATGATCACATCACTCTTAGAAGGGAACTAATATTTAGGCACTCCTTTTTCAATAGAGTCATGAAGATCTTAACCTTTACAGGTCAGTCTCAGATCCTTGATATTTTTTCTTTCCTGTCCTTCCTCTATTTCACAGTGACTTCAGAGACATAAATTAGGAGTTGGCTGTGAGATGAAGATATTTTACTCTGTTTCTGCCTACTGTCTTCTTTGAAAGTGAAACACAAAGCTCCCATGAGGAATAGAGTGGACTGTGGTGGTCATGTAGATAAATACAACATGGTTTTACATCCTGTCCATTGTGAGTCACTAAGTAAGAACTTCCAAGAAGCAGCTCCACTGAAGGAGAATGCAGCTGCTTTGATGCCATGCCAAAGAGTACATTTTTTGATAAATAGGGTTTTCATGTTAAATCTAGAAAGCAGAATCTCTTGCCATCATCACAAATTATCCACTGTGTAAAATAACAAAAGCAGTGCACACTTGGCGCCAGCTAGAACCCTTGTCCTCCAGTGGCATCTTCAATCACAAACCTAATCAGGCATATGATCTATTCTGAAAGAATCTAATGAGTTTGATAACCACAGTTTCATTGTCTCTCCTGCCTTTTTGGCTGCATTTTTGGAAGCCTGGAATGCATAGCTATGTTAAAAGTTTCTTTTCTGCTTCTACAATAACTCACCTCAAAACCTTCTGAAATATGTTGACTCATACTTAATTGAAATCTCCTTAAAAGCAAAATAAGAATAACATCTATTTTAGGTACTTATCTACTGAAAAGAAGGAAAGAAGGTATTTATAATCCATAGAGATAAATATGAGAAAGCTGGCAACAGTAAAACTGAATGGGAAGAGACAATCCATATTGATATCGACTAGTTCAGGGAAGCTAAATTAGTCCTTCAGGCTTGGCACAGGTGGACATCCCTGGAAAGTTTATGCTTGAATTGTGTTTGAAAGTATAAGACTCACAGTAAATCCAGTGTTGCTATAATGTAATTTAAGCCTGAGAGACCATCCATGCTGATTATCCAGTGATACCTTACACATTGAGTAGGAAAGCTCTAAAATAGTTTCAACCTGATGAGTTCTAATTCATCTTGGTCACTTGCAGAATGAAATGTTTTTGTTTTTGTTTTTTTGGTACTTGGGATCAAACTCGGGTCCTTGCATTTGCAAGGCAGGCAGCGGAAGCACTGAGCTAAATCCCCAGCCCCAGAATGAAATTTTGTTATGTTGAAAGTTATTTTTGAAAAATATATGAACATCTGCACTACAATTGAGAGTCCAGAGACAAACCCATACTACTGGCTAATTGATTTTCAGCTAAGGTGCCAAGACCATTTAATGGACAAAGAATAGGCTCTTCAACAAATGCCACTAGGGCAACTGGATACCCACAGAGAAAGATAAAGTTGGAATCCTATCTTATATAATATATAAAATTTACTCAAAATGGTTAAGCAACCTAAATTTAAGAGAAAAAACTACAAAACTCATAGGAGAAAATATAGTGGTAAATACTCATCACCTTCTATTTGACAATAGTTTCACAAGCAATGAAACAAAAAGCATGAAGAAATTGCACTTCATCAAAATTTTAAAATTTTGTGCATGACAGTACATTACAAAGGTGAAAGATAAAGTGTAGAATGGTAAGATATATTTTCAACTCATATCTCTAATAAAGGATGAGTATCCTAAATATTTAAGGAACTCATGAAATCCAATAATAAAAAGACAAGCCAATCAAACATTGGGAAAAGATTTTGACAGACAATTTTCCAAAGAACATAAATCGCTAACAAGCATTTGAAGAGATTGTCAGTATCATTAATCATTCAAGAAATGTAAATCAAAGACACAATAATTATACTACTTTATACCCATTAGGACAGTGTGCTAGTTACTTTTCTCTTCTTGCTGACATAAGATACTCAACGCTCAAAGCTAAAGGGGAAAAGCTTTATTTGGCTTACAGTTTGTAGAGGTTTCAGTCCATACACGGCTGTCTCCAAAGCAGGGTAGCAGAGGGGCAGCAGTTCATGGCAGTGGAAGACAGCAAAAGCAGCAAGAGACCTTCAGAGGTCTTTCTGCCCCTTTTTTCTTATTCAGACTACTCCGATTCAGGCACCTTTAACGTAGTCTACACAAGTTCGACACCGGGTACCAAAAAAAAAAAAAAATAGCCTACAACTCCATGAGGCTTTGGAGGACATCTAGATACAAACCAGACAGCCAGCTAGCAGGAAAAAAAAAGTAGAGAATAACAAGCATTGAGAGTATGGAGAACATTTAAACATTGCTGGTAGGAATGTAAAATGGTATAGCCACTGTGGGAAAAAGCCTTTTCAACCCCTTAGAAAGTTAAGGATAGAATTATCTGATGACATTGCTTTTCCATCCCTAAGTATATATTTTAAAGAATTTTTCACTCAAACAAGTACTCGTGCACATTTGTTCAAAGAGGTACTATTCACTATATTTTAAACCCAAGCATCCTTCAGTATACGAAAATATTTTAAAAACATGGTACATCTTTACATTGGAATATTATTCAACCATTAAGAAATCAAATTCTGACATATGCTCAACATCAATATCCTAGGTTAAAGAAGTCAGGCACAATATCATTATACAAGTCAGTACATAAAACTTC